TTTTATTTAAAGATGGGAGATAAAGACCAAGCAACAAATGTAACAAAGGATCTTATTCAGAGAAAGATCAGAGAAGACATTGCATTAATGAAACAAGGATAGAATGAAAAAAGAAGAAGCAAGTCATCAGACAACAAGAAAGAACTTCGTGGAAATTAAAAATATGCTAGCCAAGATAAAAAATAAATAGAAAATTTGAAAGATGAAGTGTAGAACATCACCCAAAAAACAGGAGAAATGAAAACAGGAAAGAATTGTTTTTTTGCTTGTTTTTTAATTAGAACTCAGTCCAGGAAGTCCGATACCTCAATTAATAGGCATAGCAGAAAGAGAAAACAGATAATGGTGGGGAGGAAGTATAAAAGAAATAACATAAGAAAATGCGTCAGTAATGAAGGATGTGTTTCTCTTGATTGAAAAATCCCACTTGACAAATGATCTACACTAAGGCACATAGGCACATTGTTGTCAAATTTCAGAACACCAAGAATGAAAAGACATTTCAGAAGGGTTTGGGGGGTGCATATCATATATAAAGAATTTGGAATCAAAATGCCATCACACTTTTCAACAGTAACATAGAAAGCTAGGCTAAGACAGTGAAGTAATAGTTTCAAATTCTAAAGGAAAATTTCCAACCTAAAATTCTCTAACTAACCAATCCACCAATCAAATATGGAAATAAAGTTTTCAGACATTCAAGTTCTCAAAAATATGTACGTCACATGTACTCTTTTTCAGGAAACTATTAAAAGTTGCCTCACTAAAACAAGGGAGTAAACAAGAAAAAAGGAATAAGCCATATCCAGTACAAGCGAGAGGTAAAGGAAATTGTTAGTCTGATGGCAAAGGGAAGTCTCAGGACAAGAGCTGGGCAGCAGGCCTAGAAAGCATTGAGTCCATTTTGTGGTAAGAGGACAGACAGGAAAGATACCTTTAGGAAAGGAAATACGGACTGACCAGTTGTTTGACAGTTTTCACAGAGTGGAAAATCGTACTATAAAGCATTTTACAAAGCTTTTGGATAAAGAAAGGCATAGATGTTAAATGTATACAAATATATATATATAATGAAAATATTGCATGAACACTTACTAAAAATTGAGATGATAACATTAGGATAGGAAAAGGAAAAAAAAAAATCCTTCTCTCCCATGGAAGGAACTCAGTAGCTAATGTCTTATATTGACAAATACACAATAGCAATATACACTTACTATATGGGAAAACAGAGATGGATTTCAGGAAAGAAAACCTGAGTTGAAAGGCATTGGTTCTGGGTAGCCAGATTTTCTTTCATGGGTGGAGGGAGTGAATTCAGAACAAGAGACACTTTATAATTACACGTCTTTTAGCATTATTTGAATTTTAAAGCCAATTACCTATAATATTATTGCATGAACATTTTTAAAGAGGGGAACGTGCATGCACAGTTGAGATTAAAACTGCTTCTGTCTAGGGTATTATGGTTAAGAATCCTCCCTTGACAAGCGAAAGCTCAGAGTATGATTGGGTTAGGGCAAGTTCAGAGATAGTTCAGTTCAGCCTTCTCACTGTACACATAAAGAAGTTGAGGCTCCAAGAGGGGAGGAGTGACATAGCAAGTTACCATGAGAGCTGGACTAGAGTCCAGCCAGTCACTCCCTACTTGCCCTTCACATCAAAAGTAAGGACTGAATGGAAGCATCCAAAAACCAAACCAAACCTGTCACTGTCAAGTCAATTCCAACTCATAGTGACCCTGTAGGACGCATAGAACTGCCCCATGGGGTTTCCAAGGAATGGCTAGTGGATTTGAACTGCTGACCTTTCGATTAACAACTGAGCTCTTAACCACTGCGCCACTAGGGCTCCAATGGGAGCATAGAGGACTAGAATAAAGGTTTGGTTTGGAGTCAGACACAAAAACCCAAGATAAAAACCAAACCCATTGTGGTTGAGTTGTTTCTGACTCAGCAACCCTATAGGACAGAGTGGAACTGCCCCATAGGGTTTCCAAGGCTGTCATCTTTATGGAAGCCGACTGCGACATCTCCACCCAGAGCGACTGGTGGGTTCAAACTGCCAACCTTTAGTTTAGCAGTCAAGTGCTTAACTACTGCACCACCAAGGCCCCTTGGAGTTAGACATAACGAGTTGAAATCTTGGCTCCACCACTTGTGACCTTGGACTAGCAACTTAGCCTTTCTCAACCTCAGATTCTTCGTTTGTGAAAAAGGGAATAGCCATACTTACGTGCATGGTTTGGGCTAAGAAAAGGCCCAATAAATGTTAAATGAATCTCAAAAGAAAAAAAAGGACAGGAAGCCTATTAGAGTCATAAATCTAGCACAAGTTTTGAGGGTATGAATAAAGCAAAGGCTTATTATCTTTCAAGATATGTTTTCTGTAAGTGAAAAGATGTTGTATAAATTTGTCTAGATTTTGCCTTAAAAGCAGCCACTTGTAAAACATGAGAGGTAGGGATGATGAATTTCATTTATTTACTACCTGCATATAATATGTGGGTTCAGGTTTCTTGGCTATTCGGTTTTGTTTCACTGGCTTACATAATAGGATAACTATTGCACTTAGAAATGTTTTGATGTATAAACTATCGAAATAAGAAAATATAAGGCAAAGACCCTTAATTTATAGTGCATAGATTCTGCAGCGTATATCTGGGTTAAAAATATTTACATTTATTTTAGAATATACATTATCTTGGCTAATCAGTAAGTTTACAATTAACACTTCCATTTTTTTCTTTTATTGTAACTCAGTATATATACAGAGAAAGGAGTAAATAATAAGAAACTAATTATTTGAGAACGATAATTCTGAATTTTTGGGGTCAGTCTGTGAAACATTTGTTTGCTATGATATCAGCTAAGCAATGGATTAAATAATATCTTTTTCCCCCTAACACGTTAACCTTCATTAGATACTCATAGTTTATGTTTTGATGCTCTTTCTCCAGATGTCAAGATCTGTTTTCACCTAGAGGAGAATATTTTATCCTGTGTGTATTATATTAACAAACTCCCTGGGTCAGACGCTAGAAATATAATTAGAAATTAGATTCCATACAATTTACTGTGGGTAGGAATGGTTCAAGAAAAAAAATAGACATATTTATCTTTGCCCTTTTCTTCCTTTTTTCTCTTCCTTAATGTGTGACTAGCACGTAATCCATTTCTTTTTGTCAAAAGTCAGTGGTGAACTTAAGAGTGATACCCAAAAATTCTTTATTAAAAAAAAAGTGGTTTCTAAGTTTCCTTCTAGCTCCAAAAATGCTGCTCTGGCAGGGTATGGCATGATATAAGGGAAAGCATGTATGCTTTGGAGTCAGACTTGGATAAAGAATTCATCTGGAATGCTCCACAGCTAGGTGACCTTGAACATGTTATTGCAAAATGGAGATAATAAGGGCTACTTTAACAATTAAATTGAAAAAAAAAAAAAAGGATCTGATGATTAAATTAAGGAACGGGCAATCCATGTAAAGATGTTGACATCTAGCAGATATCGAATACATGCTAGTTCCCTGTGATGCTGTAATTCCAGAAGATAGTAGGACCTGTGAGGTAAGTAAAATGAGAGAGAGTAGTCATCTAGGACAGAGGCCCCAAACAGTATGAGTTGGGGTCCTTAATTTGTCGTGTGACTTTGGACAAGTTACTTAACTTCTCTGCATCTCAATTCCCTCATCTCAAAATAGTACCTACTTCCTCGGGTGGTTGTGAATATTAAACAAGAAAATACGTGGAAAGCAGTTAGCACAGTGCCTTACTCAATAATGTTGAATTTTACATTATTATTAGGATTAGCATCACCTCCTTTTTTGTTTTTTGGTATGAAAATGCCTTCTGCTTTTCTGCTCTGTGCTTGTTACTTCTTTGCCCTTTGAAATCTTTTCTATCTTACAAAGCCCTTCTTCAATTCCACCTCTTCCAGGAGATCCTTCCTGATTTCTCTATATGTGAATATCAACTCTCTCTCCTTTGATGTTTTGAACTTTCTTTTACTATTTTTAATGGCATTTAACAGATTCTGTCTTGTATTATAGTTGTTTATGTAATGCTTGTGTGTTGTTACTTGTGTAGTATTTAAAAAAAAAAAAAAACAAAACCCATTGCTGTTGAATTGATTCCAACTCATAGCGACCCTATAGGACAGAGTAGAACTGCTCTGTAGGGTTTCCAAGACTGTATTCTTTCCAGAAGCAGACTGCCACATCTTTCTCCCGCAGAGCGGCTGGTGGGCTACTGGGTTCGAACTGCTGACCTGTCAGTTAGCAGCTGAGCGCTTAACCACTGCACCACCAGGGCTCCTGTGTAGTATTTTACTTCTCCTTATATTCCCTCCATGGGGTCACATGGAGTCGCCGTGAGTTGGAATCGACTCCATGGCAGCTAACAGCAACAATATTCCTTGCAGTGCCTAACAGTGAGTTACATGTGGTAAACACATAAAAATAGCCAGAACTTTGTGAGTTGTTAAACCTATACAGCTCCCATGTTGAGTTGAGAGAGCGAATATATTAAATACTTTGGACTCAGTTGTTATTGTTGACAGAGTATAGAAAAGGAACCATGTTTTTTATCTTTGTATTCCCAGCAGTTAGCATAGTACTAGCTATTTCATATCTGGTGTTCTTGCTGCAATGCTACAACTGAACTAAATCCATAATCAGTAAGAGCACTGGTTTAGACATGCGTACATATTAAATTTTCCACATTTAAGGTCTCATCAGATTTCCCATTGAATGAATTTTATGCTTCATTTTCAATGTTTCATTTATAATCCTTCAACCTTGCTTAATTTCCTTAACAGAAATAGCCAAGTTGTTCTTTGGTACATCCAAATGAGAAATATTAAAACTATCATAGAATAGTATTCTGGTAACTTGAAATCTCTTGAGGATCAGTTCTCACAAAAAGTGGAAAAGGTAGCATGAAAGTAGATAGCACTGTTAGTTAAGAAAGAACTTAGTTCTAAGGTATGGTTTTGTTTTCCAGGTGGCGTTGCATGCTTGTGGAGTGGCAACAGACATGGTGATTGAGCACTGCATCAAAATGCGGGCTTCCTTTGTCACATGCCCTTGCTGTTATGGTTTCATTCAGAGCACCTCAAAGTTTAATTTTCCAAAAAGGTGAAATTGAATGCCTACCTAAGACAGTAATTCTTCAAATAAAATACATTGTTTTGTTTATAATTTAGTATTTTCAAGATTATTCCTACTCTTGTTATATCATATTTAAAATGATGACTAATTCCTTTTTCTTTTCTATTTCAGTGAACAATTCAAAGAAACACTATCATACAAGGTATCGTAAAGATCTAGATGTCTTCCTAATATGCTAATATACTTTTTATCCTTCTTTATATTTTTCCCTCTCAAATTTTGAATGGAGTGTGTAATTTATAGTTGTATTTGAATTACTCATTAGCGACTAGTATGGCTTCTTTTTTTTTTAAATCCAAGTTAACTCTTCAAATAGAATAATCAAGGATCTGACATTTTACCCCACTTCAGGATAACAAGTTAGCCTGCCACAGTTTCACAGATGCTCGCAGAAGATATGAGTCAGAGATAAATGACAGTTTATTGCTAATGGCAATGGTGGTAATCAGAGTATCATAATTTTTGCATTGGCTCTTTGAGGCCCAGTTGCCACAGGGTAACACAAAAAGGGCCAGGTGACACCTATACACTGAGTTTCATTACAGTAGGGAACCCTGAGCTTAGGGAACCTGAATCTTTTATAATGGGAAGTAAGCATGCCTGCCCTTTGCTCTGGAGGAAAAAACTGTATCTTCCAATTTTCACTATATAAACATTCTTTAAAACATCATCTGGAACAGGTGCAAACATTTCTATAAAAAGCCAGACTGTAAATATTTTAGGCTTTGCCTGTCACATATTCTTCATTGTCACTGTCATCATTGTTGTTTTTGTTTTTGTTTTACAACTCCTTAAAAATGTAGAAACCATTCTGAACTCATGAGCCATACCTAAACGTCTTATAGCCCAGATTTGCTGATCTCCAGTCTGGAACGAAGGCAGCTAGTGCCTCTGCTCACGAGACATAAACACAAGAGGCCCATGAAGAATTGTCTCCCAACAGTAGTCAGAACATATATAGTTTTGAATCACCAGTTTGAGCAAAACAATTTCTAGCTTTCTCAACATCACTACTACCGAATTAATTGGTCAATAACATGGCATAATACAGTTTAAGAATTAAGAAATAATATTTGAGAGAAAAACATAAATAATTCCATTAATAGTTGATAAAATAATTTTGATTCTTAGTTCAGTTAATTCCACTTCTTGCACAGACTCACTAAAACCACATAGACTCATTTTACATACCACCTGTCCCTTTTAGGTATTTTACATTCTTCTTCATTCAGTAGTGAAACGGTGAGGTACAGTGACCTAAAAATGTTCATTTCTACCATCTTAGCCCCTATACCTCCTTCATCTCTACTTGGTAACTTTTAAACGCCCACCTCCAACTCTGTCTCCGATTTCACTCCCCATTCACCCCCTTCCCTATACAAGTACACACAGGCATCTATAAGGAGAGTTTATACTTTCATCCAGAACCAGACAATTTCTTGACTTTTCCTACTAGCTTAAAATTTCACATATCCTAAGGGACTATAAAGTTTTTTTGGAAACGTTAGTACCTTAGGAACTATTTTCATAGAATTTCAAAATAACTCACCTGTCTATCACAAGACCTTGCCAATAAGGGGGAAAATGAACGGGGGGAAAGGAGGAAAAAACAAAAACTAAAAACTAGAAAGATGCTAAATAAAGCAAACTCAGAGAGGACAATATGGAAAAAACGTAGGGTGGTAAGAGGGAATAGGTTGCCACTGTAGGAGATGTAGTCTTACTGCTGGCTGGGAAAGCATGTGGAATTCCTGAAAAGTAAAGAGACGGGACACCCAGGCTCTTCCAGAGAGCAGAAACTCCCTTGTACTCTGTTAATCATCTTTACACTCCCCTCCGTCCAAAAGCTGTTTGGCCACCAGCCCTTTTGGGGGTCTCAGGTGTATATGCTTTATAGAGAAATCCTGGCTTCTTGAATATTGTGGCAAGGTGATATCTCAGCATTTCTTAACTGAACCAAGATAGATGTGATGGTGGGCAGAGCTAGGTGGACTTAGTGCCAAATACCTTGAGAGTCACTTTGGAAGTGTTTTTCTCCATAGTTCAATTTAGCCAGCAATCCTTTACTGAGTACCTACCTACTATTTTCTCTGCCCTTACAGAACTTAACTTCTACTAGGGAAAACACACACAAATAACTCCAATAAAATATGGCAAGACTTAACAGTACCGGAGAATGAACCTTGTCTGAGATTGTGATTGCCTCGACATTACCTTTATATAAAGTGAATCTTAATTTACAAACACCATGAGGACAAAGGGCATGGTTTTTCTTGCCTGTCCTTCAAATCATGTAATTCTGTATTCTTCTTCTGCCCCTTTGTGCCTAGTTGATGCCAGTTACATTGTGGGGGCTTAATGACAGTTATTCATTTGAGCCATTTTATTAGTTTCCTACCCATTGCCACTAAATTTTATAGTGAGCATTACAGTGTTTTTTGTAAAATACATAAAGTTAAGACAGAGATATCCCTTTAAAAAGAACCAACATTGCCACAATGACTTCAGTTACCTTATTAACAAACGGAGGCCTCGAATTTAATGTACAAAAACCCACGGGGACAAATGATGAAGCTAGGTTCAGCCTGTGTTAAGCTGGCAGGTGAGAACATTTTTACATCCTTGGAAACAGTAGTTGTTCTGAATGAATAGTTGTCATGGGAGCATTGCTTTCATTTTAGTTCTCTGCCTAATCACTCACCTTTGTCTACTTGGAGACTTGAGAGTGCTGTGCAAATTTATTAGCTCCCTGTCCCTCTAAAGCCTTTTATTTTTATTTAACGCAATCTTTCCTGAAATTGTTAAGCAGAAACGGTAATCCTCAGGTCCTCTTTACGATTTGTCTTAAAGCAGAAATAGCTATACCACCTGCAGCCCTTTGGGATAAGAGGAGAGAGAGACAGAGCTAGGATCCTCTTCTCTAAAGAGCTGAATGGAGGGAACAGTCAGGAAAAGCAGAGGAGTAGCCAGCACTCTGTTGGTATCCCAGGAGCTACAGGAGCCACCAACACTGGTCACCTATAGGATGAAAAGCCACCAAGAGTGTTTTCTTAGAGCCACATTCCTGAGATTCAAATAAATCTTGTTAAAGGAAAAATATAGATGACTTGTAGGTCTTTTCATTTCACTTACTATAATCAGAAAATGAAACCCTGGTGTCATATTTTGGCTAAAAACAACTGGTCAAAAATGATCCTGCGGATCTTCATGCATCTCTTCTTAAGACCTACATCTGAAAAGCAGTATAGTTGAAGGGAAAAAGTATATTTGAGTACCATTTTCTGGAAGTTTGCCTCTTTGAAAAGTAAAAGTACTAGTTGTACAGCACTTTATTCAATTAAACAGCAGAGTATTCCAGAAAAGCAAGGTAAGTTTGATTTGATTTTCTTTTTTTTACAACTTCGATGCAGAAGATTAAAATAAGCCCAAATTCTATTGCTTTTTCTTCTAGGAACACATGATTCTGTGCAGATTTGCGGATCAGACAGCTGTCCAGCTCCCACTCCAACGCAGGCTAATAGGTATGCATTTTCACAGAGCAGCCGTTGAGTAGGTTTTGCACAATATGCCTAGGAATGAATCTAGCAGTGACTCTATGTGGGGTAAACCGATTCATTTATAAACAAAAAACTAAAGTTTGTTTTCCCTAGAAAATTTAATCCATATTGAAAAGAGCTTTGAAGCCATAACAACATTTTATCCCATTTTGGTAAATATTAACATTTTAAAATACATTTTTCAATGTTTATACATTGAATAGGATAATAATGTTATATCTCTTTCTTACGGTTATGGACAAACTGACAGATCTTTCCAAAGCCACAAAAGAAAATAATCAAGATGGAAAAGTCAACTCTGCCTGCCAAAAAAAAACATATATACAAGGATAACATTTTCTTTCTCAGAAATGTACTTGTATATTATCAATCATAGACCAATTTATTTGACATTTATAATATTAAACATTACCTAAATTGGAAGACACGCAGAAAAGTTTCAAGTTTATTAAGTAATTAATAAAAAAAAATCTCAGAGGAATAATTGTTGTTGTTATTGTTAGGTGCTGTGGAGTCTCTTGCTGTCTCCTTCATGCAGGCTTTCTCTTTGACTCTCTTTCACCCTTTCTTCGCCTCTTTCCATCCTAACACTTTGAATTAGTCGAATGTACATTTGGTACAACTCCACTAGACTCAATGAGGCATAATTAGTATGGTGGATGGATGGATGGGTGTGTGCATGGCTGACGTGGGTTTCAGGCATCAGGTCAAAAGGGAAAGGCTGGAAAAGATGGTGCTGGAGTTGAGGAGGAGTGTTTGGCATGATCACTGACAGAGGTTGAGGGGAATGACTCATAGAATCCATCAAATATCTATATCTATAGTTTGCACAGACCATTCCTGTACTCTGTGACCATTTTTAGGAAGCTTACCAGGCTCCAAAAGGTAGGCTACCAACAACTGAATTTCAGCTACAAAGACACTCCTTCAACATGTGAAAACATGAGATTCATCTACGTCATGGAAAAGGAAAAATTAACTTGACTGGGCTCAAAGCCAAGGGTAAATGAGCTGCAATGTAAACCCAGGGTGTGTACTGGAGGAATGTAGAGCATCCCATTCTGACAGAGGCTGCTTCCTTTTAAATTGAAAAGTAGATGTGAGAAACATTTTACAGATGTCTTAAAGGAAGGACGATATTTTAAGGGAAAGAAGAATGTCAATGATACAGCTGTTGATGAAGAGGAGGTGATTTAGCCTGAACAGAATTCTACACATCTCTTTTTATATCATTTATAATACTGTTCATCTTTTTGGCATGGATCCTTTTGAGGAAAATGTACAAAATAAACATTTTAAATATGAATCTCTTGTTGCCAATTCTTACCTACTGATTTCACCCTCACTGTATTCCTGTGGAAAACCCTGGTGGCTTTGTGGTTAAGAGTTGGGCTGCTAACCAAAAGGTCACCAGTTTGAATCCACCGGGCACTCCTAGGAAACCCTTTGGGGCAGTTCTACTGTGTCCTGTAGGGTCACTATGAGTTGGAATTGACTCAACGGCAATGGGTTTGGTTTTGAGTTTTGGTATTCCTGTGAGAATTCTTTCTTCCACAGAAAAACTATCTACTTCAGTTTTTCCTGTCTTTACTTCTGGAGTTTAGCAGTTTAGCAGTTAGCAGTTTCCTCTGTCATTGATTATTATTTAAAAAAATGATTAGGCATTATTATAATTATTGAGAAAAATATAGACCGAAGTTCTGCATAATCAGTAATCTTTTCTCTAAGAGGATGAAGAAGTGTGTATATTGAATTTAAAACAATTGAAAGTGTAAAAGCAAACCATGGCTTTGAATATATTCAGCCTCAAATCATTTTTCTCCTGAGTTACATTTGAAATAGAAGTGGGTGTTTGCCAAAGGAAAACAAATTAACTGCTTTACTTGCCAGTCAGGTTTCCTCTTTTGTTTTCCAGAGACTGGAAAGAAAATTAAATACTGCTATTTTATAGGAGTGCAGGAGCTCTGAAAATTAAGAGCACACTAAACACATATTCACCTGAAATAAGCAGGACGCAAATGAGACTTTTCTCAAATATTTTCCATTTCTTATTTCTTCATTGCTGTAAAAAAAACTCCAGGTGGAAAATGTAACATGTCTTTCAGATCCCCCTTTGTCAACATGTTACTTTAAATATTCTTAAAAGTAGATATGATTTTCTCATGATATTACAGATTATATATTTTCATAGGGAATACAGAGAAAAGAACTTTAAGTGGATTTTTAGCCAAAATGAGAAATAGAATCTGTGGTTTGTATTTAATTAAGATTTGTTCATTAATATATTTTTAAAAGGTTGAAAATCTTTAAATTACCAGCAGAAACAAATCTGTGAAATGTCAGGTGCTTGTAATTTCCTTCTCTTCCTATTGATCAAGAACTAAATTGAAAGGGACTAAACAGGACTTTGGGGAAAACAGCATTCTCCATAATAAGAGTGGATTTTGTCACTGCCTGGATTCCCTAACAAACTGAACTGTTAGTGGTTAGTCTAATGATACCACTTTACTGTGTTTCAGGAAAACAGTGCATGTGCCTAGTGGATCTGGATCGAGCAAGAGCTGCGGAAGAACGTGGTTACTCCGTCCAAGTGATATCCATGGAGCCAGAGAGCTGCTCTCCCAAAAATAACATGATCGTGGGAGTCCCCATTTAGAATGAGATATTCACATTTGATGTCTTGCCACTCGTCTTCATAATGGAAGCCAAGTGGCATTCAGGGGGTTCCTGGCATAACTAGGAAATAGCATTAGCCATCCTGAACCTACTGTGCTCAGGAAAGAAAGCAGCAGGAAAATCTTGGAAGAAAGGCTGCCTGCAAGGCATCCCAAATGCTCTTACAATGTGTGATTAAAGAACTCCTGGTTTTCATAGTGAGAATCCCCTGAGTTCTCAGCTGCCAACAGAGTAATTCTCACTAGTGGAGGTTCCATCACTGGAATAACAATTTCTTTCTTGGCTCACAGGCTTTTCTGATCTTGCTAATGTGACATTCAATTCAAAACAATGATCATGTGGTACTTGGAACCTTTATTTTACAATTATTTGGATATTCACATGGGGCCTGAAAGTAGACTCAGTGGGGTTTTTTTTTTTTGTTTTTTTTTAATATTTTTAACAATTGTACTTCTATATTTTTAAAATAATCTAGTCTGACAATTACAGTATGGTTATTTCTAAGCTGGAGTTAGTTGGACTTGTGTATCATCTAATACATTTTAAAAATATTTTTCCCATAAATTACTAAATGAGATCATTACTGGTCAAACATTTTATATGAAGAGATTATAAAATAATTTTAATAAATTTCTCACTATGGGAACATATAACTTGGATATAAATTCTAACTAATCAGTAAATACATAGATTATTTAGTTCAATTCTATTAACAGTTATTGAGGATCCATTATTTTCAAGACCCCAGCCTAGATTCTTCTGAAAATACAATGAGTTTCAAGAGATACTTCTTTGTCTATGGAAGTAAATCATCTAAAAGAGAAAAATTAAAGAATTAGTGCATTCTTTATGTCATAATATAATGAGTGGTCACAGGATTTGTTTTTCAGATATCAATCATGTTTTCATAGGTTTTTTTTTTTTTGGCAAAACTTATTGATTATATATTGATAGACTAGTACAGAGTATGGAAACTTATTTGGATAGTTCTCCATACCCAAATTCTTCTTTTTCTACCAGCCAAAGTTTTTAAAGACAGATGGCATTTCCTTTGTCAGATGCTGCTAATTATATAACTTTTACATATCCTAGGTTGCTCCATTTGAGATAAGAGTTATTTCGTTGCTTTTGATGTTTTCAACCCCAGTATAACACATACCATGAGGAGAAAGGACTTTGATTGGTCATAAATAACTCTTTCATCATTGTGCGTTAAAATACAGGAATAACTGAAGCCTTGTTTTCTGGGTTAAAATTTAAGAGAAGAATTAACCGTCAACCCTGAGTATTTTCATCATTTGCATCCATAAAAACAGCATGCTCTTTTATCCTGGGCTTTCTTTTTTTGAACTGAGTTGTAATTTACTGCAATAAAATAATAGATTTTAGGTGTTCCCTTTGAGAAGTTTTGACACTTGTATATACTCATGAAACCTCCAACCAAATTAAGATATAGGACATTTCCATCAGCCCAGAAATTTCCCTCATTACCCTTTTCCAGTCAAACCTCTCCTCACCCCAGAGGCAACCACTCTGATTTCTATTACCCTACGTAAGTTTTGAGTATTTTTATCCTTCGTATCAATGGAGTAATTTAGTATGTACTCTTTTGTGTCTGGCTTCTTTTGCTTACCATAATGTTTTTTTTGAGCTACATCCATGTTGTTATGTGTATTAATAGTTTGTTTCTTATTCCTAAATAGTATTCCATTACATAAATGTATCAAAATGTTGTTAGCGGGTGGAAACCCCAGGTTCTTACTTGGCATGACTCATACTGGCCAATAAATGAGAGACCGAGGTGGGAGAACAAGAAAGGAACATTTATTTTGTCGTACAAGAAAATGGAGTCAGTCGGAGCTGACTGCTACCAAGACTGCTTGTCAAGGGCGGGTAGGCAGGTTACTTTTAAAGAGGTTTACAAGTAGGGAGTTCATACAAGTTACGTCAGCAACATTCTTAATCACTACGTAGGTACAATGGGGTTTACATATAACCTCCAAGCAAAAGCAAGATTCAAACGCAAAGCTGAGATGGGGGAGCCCAGCAAAGGAAACGATTTTGTAATACAACACTATAGGGGAGGAAGCCAGATAAAGAATGAATACAGCAGTATGGGGGTTCTGTCTCACTGTATTTATCCATTCTCCTATTGGTGTTTATTTGGAGTGTTTCCTCTTTGGGGTTATTATGAACAAGGTCTATGAACAATCTTATACAAGTCATTTTATGGACATATACTTTCATTTCTCTTAGATAAAAGCCTAGTAGTAGACTTGCTGAGTCATAGGGTAAACAAATGTCAATTGCCGAACAGTTTTGCAAAGTGTATGAAAATTCCAGTTCTCCATACCCTCACCGACATTTGATATTGTCAGTCTTTTTTTATTTTAGCCATTCTAGTGGATGTGAAATGATAACTCATTTTCATAATAAATATTTTAATTTTGACAAGGTCAATTTAACATTTTTTTCTTTTGTACTTAATACTTCCTGTGCCCTCTCTAATAAACCTGTGCCTACTTTAAGGTTATGAAAATTTCTCCTGGTTTTTTTTTTTTTTTTTTTTGTAGAAAATTTACTGTGCTAGCTTTTACGTTTAGCTCTATGATCATCTCAAATCAATAGTCACATATAGAGGTAGGTAAGTTTCAAGGAATATTCAGTTGTTCCAGCACCATTTGTTTAAAAACCCTCCCTCTCTTCATTAAATTGTCTTGGTGCCTTGGTTAAAAATAATTGATGTGTATGTGTAGGTCCATTTTTGAGCTCTCTAGATTGTTGTTAGGTGCCCTTGGGTCAGTTCCGACTCATAGCGACCCTATAGGACAGCGTAGAACTGCCCTGTAGAGTTTCCAAGGAGAAGCTGGTGGATTTGAACTGCTGACCTTTTGGTTAGCAGCCGAGCTCTTAACCACAATACCACCAGGGCTCCTTTCTAGGTTAGTCTCTTCCATACATCCATTTATTTTGATCACTGTAGCTTTATAGTAAGTCTTCAAATCTGATAGTTTAAGTCCTTCAGTTTCATTTTCTAGATCGTTTTGCCTATTCTAAATCCATTGTATTTCCATGTAAATTTTAGAATTGCCTTTTCAATTTCTTGGAATCCCTACATAGTGCAAATGGTTAATGCGCATGAGTCAGAATCGAATTTCTTTAAAAAAAAAAAGGACTGCTCGATCAATTGGGGAAAAATGAACATTTAACAATATTGAGTCTTAAAATTCATGAATATAATGTATCTTTTCACTTGTTTGTTGTCATTAGCTGCTGTTGAGTCCACTCCCAACTCATGGTGACCCCAAGCTCAACAGAACTAAACACTACTCAATTCTGTGCCTTCCCTATGATTGCTTGCATATCAGACAGTTGTGATCCATGGAGTTTTCATTGGCTGATTTTCAGATGTAGATCACCAGGCCTTTCTTCCTCGTCTTTCTTAGTCTGGAAGTTCTACTGAAACCTATTCAGCATCATCGTGACACATAAGCTTCCACTGACACATGGGTGGTGGCTGTACATGAGGTGCATTGGCTGGGTGAGAATTCAGCCACTTAAGCACCAATACCTCATTCCACTTACTTAGATCTTCTTTAATTACTCTCAACAATATTTTATCATTTTGAGTGTAGAGGTTTTGTTTTATTTTTTATTTGATGGTTTTTATGCTATTACCTTAAGCTTTTCATATGCTGTTCCTACTAGCTAGAATAACCTCCTCCCACTAGCTTAATTTCATTCATCCTTCTGCTCTTGGCTTAGACTTGACTTCTTGAGCCTTTCCTAGTCTCTCTGGATTCAGATACCTGGTATAGAGTGTCCACCACCCAGGGGGATCTTCTCAGTCCTTCCCAGATGGCTCAAGGCACACATACACGAACCCACGCAAACCCATGTGACGAGTATGGTTAATAAAAAAGGAACTGACCCCACTGTTCTTATACCCTGTTCTAGGACATGGTATTCTCCAGCTGTGGATTGCTGTGGCTAGTCATACATACGTGTGTTAATAATTGCTCTTGGACCATGACTTCTCTGTGTAAATCCCTGCCAAGACTCCTTCCCAGTCAGGGCAAACGAAAGGGGTCAGACACAGGCAGCAGGAACACTGTGGTAATGACAGTAATCCCAGCAAGTGACCTGGTCTCACCCCCACCCTTGTCCATCAAAAGCAAGGCTGTTCCTCACTATCTGTCTCTCCTAAGGTTGTAACGTTAGAAATCAGAGCTTATCTTTCATTGACTTTTCAGCCTCACTCAGAAAAGCAGGGGTTTAATTATTAATGGCTAAACTACTTTCTCTTACTTAGGGGACAAATTTCAGTCATATTAGATATCAAAACATTTTCAGGGCACACATGGAAAAACAACTATGTGAATAACAGTAATTAAACATTTACTGTCACCCTAAAGATTTTGGCTACAGGTGTTGCTGACTATGGGTTCAAGAGAAGTTGCCAATAATAGAACTTCCACATACTGAAACTTGTTTTTCTATTGACTTTCATATAGTACTTAGTAGTACTTAACACTAATGTAGTACAGTGAAACCGTGAGGGCCAGAACTCAACAGGACTGCCTTGTTTTTCTGGGTCTCGAGAGTTTTCTGCCTTCAACAGGGTGCAGTCTTAACACTTTTCTATTGCTCAGGTTAGTGGAAAATATTTGAGTTTTCCTCTGACAGGTTTCTGCCTTACACAGGTTCTGGCTTTCGCAGGTTTTACTGTACTTACTATTTGCTAGGCACAATTCTAATTCTTTTACAAATAATTACTCATTTAATCTTTTAAGTCATTTAATTCTCAAAATGACCCTAAGAAGTAGATACCATTAGTGATCCATTTTACAGAAACTAAGGCCAGTGTGGAAACCCTGGTGGCGTAGTGGTTAAGAGCTATGTCTGCTAACCAAAAGGTCGGCAGTTTGAATCCACCAGGTGCTCTTTGGAAACTCTATGGGCCAGTTCTACTCGGTCCTATAGGGTTGCCAATGTGCAAAGACCTGAAGTTAGGAAACCGAAAGAGAAGAATATGCTTGGCATTTCTCAAGCTCAAAGAACAAAAGTAAAAATTCAAGTCTCAAGTTGCAATATTGAAGGATTCTATGGGGAAAATACTGAGTGACGCAGGAACCATCAAAAGAAGATGGAAGGAATATACGGTCACTGTACTAAAAAGAATTGGTCGACATTCAACCATTTCAGGGGGCAGCATATGATCAAGAACTGATGGCACTGAAGGAAGAAGTCCAAGCTGCAGGCATTGGCGAAAAGTCTTCAGGAATTGATAGAATGCCAGTCAAGATGTTTCGACAAATGGATGCAGCACTGGAGGTATGCACGCGTCTATGCCAAGAAATTTGGAAGACAGCTACCTGGCCAACTGACTGGAAGAGATCCATATTTGCACCCAACAGAATGCAGAAATTATTGAAGAGTATCATTAATGTCACATGCAAGTAAAATGTTGCTGAAGATCATTCAAAAGCGATTGCAGCGGTACATCAATAGGGAATTTCCAGAAATTCAAGCCAGATTCAGAAGAGAATGTGGAACAATGGATATCATTGCTGATGTCAGATGGATCCTGGCTGAAAGCAGAGAATACCAGAAAGATGTTTACCTGTGTTTTATTGACTATGCAAAGGCATTTG